TTTTCAAGCACTTTGGGGGCGATTCTGATCAACTTAAACCTCTTGTGCGCCGCAGCAATCTTAAACTCTTCCGCAATAGGACGAAAACTCTTATTTGGATCGTGAGTTTTGAAACGACCGCACCTCAAAATCAGGGAAGCCACATGTCGTGTGTAGCAAAGTAGGCGGAATTACAAGAATTCTGAGTTCAAAACTTGACGAATAACCTTGTTGCCCAAGCTAGGTTACAAAGTCAAACTCCCTAGACTCGTAGGTTCCCAAAAGATCCTCATTGCGAGCAAGCACAATATGACATTGGATGGAGGACAGAGCAATCCATATCACCGCAACCGATTACCAAGATCCGTGCAAGACCTTTGGTACTGTAACTTCAAGCACGCAAAAAATAAGAACTAGTGTGAAAAACATCTGTCTGTTCGCTTGCTCAAGCTTTACGCGGTTCGTTTATAGGATTGTCGGCAGTGAACTCACCGGGGCCTCTAGCGAACTTCTGCACCGGTCAAAAACAACGCGAGTGTGCTCTACGTGACGCGAATGACGTCACGTTCGACTGCACTTTCGGTTGGTGATTAACTTGTACCAAAACATTCTTATCGGAATGTTTCAAAATGGCGAAACAGCCTGCACAAAGCTGAGGTTTGGAATGAGCATATCAAGAAAGAAACCAATTTTTTAACCCCAAACAAATCCGAGTTAGATGCTTCTTTGACAGGAGAAAATACTCTTATGTAAGTGACAGCAATATTGTTGAGTCTAACTTGATCTTCTGATATTTCCCGCATTCACTTACATTCATCTGCATATGTACTTTTGAGCTCTACTTGTTTTGCTAACTGTACCCGCAGCTCACCTTGGCGTCACAGTCCTCCCGTCCGACACACGTTCGTGTGTTGGCACGTGTTTCTGTGTGTAGATGCGCAAAGCTGACCTAATTACCCACACGCGTTCGTGTCGCGTTTGCTGTGCCTGCGTTGACTTGTTTTTGCTCATGAGTTCCGTGTGATCGCACGTCTAATGAGAATCACGAGATTGTCATCGGAATGCCAACCCACGCTACTGATCCATCGTACCGCTCGCCATTGTTTGGTGTGCGGACGTTGACACTCTCTGCCGGTCAGTGACAGACCTATGCAACTGTTGACGCTACGTGCGTGAACAACTGAGATTTGTTGTACACATTTGCTTACCCTTGTGTAAATAGTACCGCAGAATTTCGAACCCAGTTCTTCCTTTTGATATTCGGGATTGTCGAACCTACGCGTCACTCAGAGTTCCGTATCGGGAACCTTAACAAATGTTCTGGACTAGTTATGAACATTTCTGTGATACAACATCAGACAAGGTTTACGGCACAATGATACACGCGACCTGAAGCGGTTATCAGCTAATGAACTCTGAGCACAGGAGTACTGCAACACTGTCTACAACCGAGCTGAATAGACTGGTTACCGCATTCAGTAGCTCACGTTTCGGAACAAAGGTTTCTCAGTTGACATCTGATCTGGAATGAACAAATCCGACATGAAGTAGCGGACCGATTCTGGAAAAAAATTCCGGTGTTGTAAAAGTATTATGGAAATTTGTTTTAGGATACACCTGAAGTAAAATCAGACCAGAAACTTTTGTTTTGCATGCCCAAAATCCAGTTTCGATGGGAGTGATGAGGTGCGGAAATTTGGAGTTTCGTTTAGGACCAACTATTTTCGGAGTTTAGGGATCTCAAACTTCCATCGTGTGAAAAATTACTATACTTCGATTATATAGTAGCCTCGTAATAATAACACTTTTACCGGAACGACAGACGAAACTTTTGCGCATAAGCTGGCTGCCATTCGAAATGGTGGAGAAAGCGACTCTTTATGTTGCAATAACCATTTAAATAGCCTATTATCATGACCATCCATGACACATTAGGCACTGGAGATGGCCTGCCAACCAGTGATAGATAAGTGAGCCCTAATCGATCGCTGTGTTTGAATACGTAGTTTTCAGTTATTCAGTGACACTCTAACAAGCTATTCTCTTTGTGAAAAACTCACCGAGTGACATACATTGAGCTTGCGGAGCTTACCTAATAGTTGACGTCTACTCGAGCGATCTCTCTGGCCCTTTTTCCCATAAGAAGACCAACGTTTGGGAAATGTGACTATCCAGGGCTTAGTGATGCCCAGAACCTAGGTACTAGTGATAAGCTTGTTGACTAGACAACGGAAAACTTACACTAAAGATATGTTCTACCCGCTTCGCTAAACCGGTGAGAAAATAAACCAAGAGGAAACACCGTCTTGAGGAGACACTTTTAGTGGCTTGAAAAGTCTTCGATCGCAATGTTCCCTTCAAGAAGGAGATCGAAAACAAAGCAGGATGCAAATGTGGACCTCAAAATAACCGACTTTTCAACCATGGTGAAAATGTCCAGCCAAATTTAATCAGTTAACAGGTGGATTCATTAGCTGAATTCACAGAGTTGTTACGTCGGCGTTTCACTTTGGTTTGAACACTCATCCCGCACATGGTCCGCACTGGACGCCTTTCATTGGCACCTATCACAGCTACAACGCGGACGGATAGCGATAAAACTGGGACATGTGAGAAACACTCACCAATGAACAAATTGGCGTCGCTGAAAAGAAAGCTAACAGCTTCGGGCTTTCGCAGAATCCAGAAAATTTGTAAAGTGCGGGTTAGATGGTTTGATTTTGGAGTACTTTGCTCAATTACGGGGAGTCGTCGATCGCGACATCTCTGGGGAGCACCACACACCTGTCCATTCTTCAAATTCCCAATGATCGCCGTCAGACTCCGTAATATTCGATTGGATCTTCAGGGTAAAGTTTCTGGTTTCATGGCCCTTACTCAAGTTCAGGTAGTTCTTACAAGCATATACTTTTCCGGGTGACCTAGATTACGCTGGATACGTCCATTACGTTGCGCAGGTATGTTTCAGTAACGGGTACAAAATGACATCGAATATCTGCTGTTACATCACCAGCTGGTTAGGAAACCCATGTTCAACTGAAGTTACATTGCCCTGATGTAGAGAGCACGCGGTTATCTTCTCAAATCTCAACCCCATCTAAGAGGGATTATTTTGAAATCTACAAAGAGTGCGCCTTCTGGAGAGGGATTAAAGTTTTCTATGGAGGTAAATGTTGGTAGATCAGGTAGCGTAGATGGTCGTTGGCCTGTTCGCTGAGCTGGGCCATTTGATTGCAAACGTTTCATCACCAATCGGGACTCGGAAGGACAAAGGTCACTCCAGCATCGACCAGATTACGATGGCAGGGGATGCCAAGCTCAAAGGTCACTTGGGCATAGGTGAATAAGTACACAGCATAACCACCCGATCGAACAACTAATCGCGATCAAAGGTCATCCTCGGCTAGCAGCACGCATATTAACACACACGTAACACTACTCGACGCACAACCACCAACCCAACGCTACACACCACTACGCTCCCCAATAACGCGCTGATGATGTCACCTCGATTGGTGATGAAAAGTTTGGAATCAAATTGCCCGGAGAATAAAGTGCATATAAAGATGTGAAAGCAAATATAATACGCATATCTCGACTAATATTATTAGTTTGAAACAGGTTACTACACTATAAAGCTCCGGACTTTGTGACCGAGCTCACTCGGCCACCTATGTTTTGCGTGGCAGTTCGACTACATACATGAATGAATGACGTAGCATGCATACTGTTACAATAGCGTCTCTGAGTTAGGTGGATGACTGATAAAACCATTGTGTAATCCGCAAGGAGTCAGGACACTTTATTGCGCACAGTTCTGGTGCTTCCCAGGATTACATCAACGACCACGAAGGACCTACTGATGACACATTTTTACTTGTGTAGTAATATATATATATATATATATATATACGTATGTGCCCACATATACGCATGCACACATAAGTGGTTTTCTGAACACTATTGGCAATTTGCTCAACAAACGCATCATCTTCCAGGGGGAAATGTCAATTTTCGGTGTAGTTCTCATGAAATGTAGAGTACACTATCCTGCTGATGTTCTGGCAGAATGGCTGTTGAAACTGGAGAATTGCAAATTATTTTGTCATAAGGTAATCTATCACCAGAAACTGATATTCATTTATCAACAGTGGGATATCTTAGTGACTGTCACAGTAAGTACTGTGATGGGGGGAATGGGTTATGGGACTTTTATGAAGGCCCGACCTGAGGCTTGTTGGAAATAACGGACGTTGCAGGATATGTGAAAGGAATGAACGTTTGTCTATGTCATAATATTGGTGAAGTACTGACGCTAAGTATAGCATTTGCGTATCGCATGTGTGGGCAGCGTACACTGCAGAATGGAACAGAGCGTCTGTGGTCGGATGGGTAAAACAGAGGCTGTACAAAACGGTAAATTAAACGATCGCGTTTGGTAAGGCCAAGGGGCTTGTTAGGAAGTCGTTGCAAACGATGATGTGCAGTTCAACAAGACGAGAGAACTCATTTAAGTAGGGTGTAACAAGGAGCTACAAAGTGATGGTCGTATGGTCGCTAAAACAACCGTTGTGACATAAGTAGGTAAAGTGGTTTCTGATGGTTTCTTAAACAAAATAACCGGCTACAAATGACTGCACGACAATCTGTGGGTTTTAAGCATAGTTGACCGACTGAGGTGGGACGAGTTGGTGTAAGATTTCCATGGTTGTCACTGACGGGTACAACCCTCCAAGTCGAGCACCCTTGTGCAAAGTCCATTCTGACACATTGGGGAAGTAAGACCGAAACCGACAAACAGCAGTGTCACGGAACAAAGTTAATATCTCAAAGTTCCGCCATTTGACAAACAGGTGAACGTGGATGGTCGGTATAAAATGGGCAACTCTTTGATTTTTTCGTACTAGTCACAAAAACAAAGTTTTCCCATACTTTATTAACATATAAAGCAGAATTGATCAATAGGTTGGATGAAGACGGGCAGAATTTGCCTTCATAGCTTAGGTGTATCATTGGTGGTAGTTTCTTAATTACTGGAGAAGATGAGTGTTGATCAGCTCCAGCTATTCACTGTGTTCACCCATATGGAACAGGGTTTGTTCATCCGGTCTGTAATATGAATCAACCTCAAATCTAGGCTCGTTTGGAGCATTTATCGAGAGTGATCTTTGTTCGGAGAGACTCAAATCCAAATCTTGGTCACTGCAGTCCGAGTAAAACGACAAAAAGTAGGTGGAACATTACAAGGTAGCCCAGATTACCAGTTCACTTGCATATATATAGCTTCCAGTTTTGAGCGATATTATTCGGATGCTGTATGAGCGTTCAGCTGTAGCGCCCCTTCGGTGCCTAGCTGCCGTGTCACCAGAAGGAACAACGAGGGTTGGGATACTACCAGGTTGCCCAAGCCTAGACAGAGGCAGAGATCGGTTTCGAACCACCGACCTTCCTGTCAGTAATCTTGCGCTCCAACCACTGAGCAATCTCGCCCCAATGCTGTATAAGCGGCCAATCAATGTCAGTGGGGTTCGTGCAGTCAGTTTCTTTCCAAATTGTCTGATTGAGCGGTTAGAGTTGTAGACACCTCAGAATGATTGACATAGGCCAGTACAAGGTCCCCTCCCTCATCCACTCTTTTTCTCTTCTTGTCACTTTATGGCTTAGAATATACTTACGTATATATATATATATATATATATATATATACATAAAGGCGAACATTATGTTTG